CCATAATTCGCATGTCGTCTTTGTTAAAAACCATCTACAAACACTGCAAAATCACACAGCCTTCAGTTTCATCAATTCTCTGGTTTCCAATAGTTGCGTTGTACTGCAGCACCGTGGTGACTCCAGTGAAGATCCCTACTGCCTTCTTTGGCCACCGCTAACAACTTACAGTGCTTACTATGTCCAGGCGTGCTCGTACCAAACGAAATGTGTCCGCTATCATTGGCGCAATCCATGTAAATTAGCATTAGCAAATAGCAAGGGCATTGAAAATTACCCAGTGGCTTTTTAAAAAAGACCGGTGCTGGTTAACCGAACGGGCAAATTTTGTAAAGTTAGTCATCTAAACCATATCCATGCCGCTGCTGAGTCATGATGGACAAGTTGCCTCTATTCAAGAGGATGTCTCGTCAATTTTAGAGAGATCTTGCCCATAAATCTGACTCACTGTTTTCAAATCTAGAGGTGCTGATAAGATCCTAAGGAGTTATGAGGAGCGCTACCCTTCAGCCAGAATATTTTCCAATTTTTTTGTTCCACTTACCTCTTAAAAACTCAATTTTTCTGTTATTAAATAAAAATAATTAGTCCTAAAATTTATCCACAAGGAAACCATGCCTTTATTTGCACTAGCCATAAAGTTCCTCTTTAGCATAAGTTCCCAGGAATTTTACACGGACATTATTGCTCGTTTCACATTAATTCCTGCTCACTAGTATCTTTCCATTTGGCTCCAACTTTAACTAACATATTTACGATTAGTTTTGGTGATGAGTTGAAGAAATTTAATTTTCCCAGAAATGTTTCTCCAAGTTTAAATGTCTAAAAGGGTATTAAAATCAACCGAATCGTTTCGTTAATGGCAAAATTATAGTTTTTGTGTTTCCACTTCTTATTTAGACAAATTTAAGGTTGCAGTTTTTGTATGGCACTTTCTTAAAGCCATGTCATTTTCAGTTATCCACCACAGTAGCTTAACCTTGACTTACATGAGTAATCGGTCACAAGTTGTTACGCAAAATGGATAAAAATAACAGATAGCTTACTTCCAAATTTAAATGAATAATTTCCTGTCTTTAGCTCTATTTTTGGGTTACCAATTACTTAAAGTAGCAAACTTTCTCCCCCAGTGAAGTTCATGGTGATGTCCCAAGGTTACATCTAAAATAACTGCTTGAAAAACATCCCTAATTGAGTAAAAGTGAACTTTTAAGGCAATAATGTTGCCCATATCTCACCGTACCACTGAAAACAACTCTGCAATTGAATTTATATTCTTGCTCCCATATCTACAGGGTGTCACCTGTCAAAAGGAAACTGATCTTTTGAGTAGCACTCCTGGTTGATTATAGGCTCCATGTGTTTTATAATAGAGAGAATGCTGTAGTCCGGAAAAGTTTGCTTTATTTAAAACCTCGCGTATTTGTTTGTTTTAATCATTCAAAAGTCACAAAAGCAAGGGCTTTGGGTAGATGAATGCCAAATAAGAAGGCGATACGAAAAGGACAAAATGTTTTACGGAAGTAAAAAAAAACCACGAGACACCTGGCATGGACAATTCGTTTGAACAATTTCATAAAGTTCCAATATACGGAATCTCAAATCTGCGAAGGCCAGAGGCTAGATAAATTTGACAGGTAGTTGAGAACCATCTATCCAGGAAAACTTGGTTAAATTAAAAAAATATGTATTTAGTAAAAACTATAGGAATTTTGTAAGGTCATTCCTTTTGGATGACTAAAGCGGCTGTTTTTATTATAAAAAATGTCGCAGAGAAGGGATGCTTCCGGCACTATGCATGTCTCACGTAACCAAAGAAAAGAGGTCATTATTGACAACATAAAATAGCTTCTAAAAAATCACATTTGTTTAGCAGCAACCACAAAGAGATTCTGGAATTCAATAAGTTATACGTTAAAAGCTGAAAAGAACAGGAAATCAGAAACTCGAACAGCTATTATTAAAATTCAAGCTTGTTCGGCAATCACATCACACCAATAATTAAACAGATGCCCTTCTCCGGGTGTCGAAAAGGTCCCAACATTTAGCCTCATTATTTTTATGCTTTACTGCTATTTTCAAGCAATGGAACTCCTAGGCCGACAATATTTGGGAATCTAGTAAAAATGCTATCAACTTTCCAGCTACCTAGGCACATTCCGCTTCAACGACAATTCAAGATGAACTGATACACTTTTGTTACAGTGTAGGACAGATTTCATCCAATAATTAAAAATTCAAGAACCGTAGTTATTCTTAAACCAGAGTCTAACAACAAAACTAGTAAGTGGCCAAACAGCAAAATCGGATGACAACGTGCATATAAGAATTAAGAAATGGCAAACAAGTTGTGAGGGGGGTCGCTCCTACTCACGTTGAATTTTAATTGGCACGAGGTAATCCACATGAATTAGGGCTTCCACCAGTCCATGCAACAAAGAGCGACGGAGGACGTAATAACGAAATATTACGTCAGTACCCCGTGGTTACGGTGTCAGCGGTTTGTCTTGTGACCGCAGGGTATGCACATACACACAAACGCACATACATTCGTGTACATTCAGTTCAATGGGATAAACCTACGGGTTTAGCTCATTGGTCCAAATCTGGCTTTACAACTAGCCATCCAATAGGATGGAGGTAATCCATCGTCCAAAGCGTAGGTGTGTTTATCTTGTGCGAGGGTGTTCGCAGAAAAGAGGGCTTTTGCTTGGCCTAGTGTGCGTTTGTTTTACGTCTAACAAGAACGGCATAAGAGATGTAGGTGACATGAACGACTCTAGCAATTGAGTTTTCATATTGTAAATTTTCACATATACAGAAGCCGTTGCAATTTTTATAGTTTAAACTTTACCTACAACTTGTGGCAAACTCAAATTTCTATAAAAATTAATTAAATATTTTATTGATGCCATTTGGTCACCACATAAAAACGTGCGTTTTGAGCTGAAAGTCCACCATTTTATTATCTGATGGAGGAGTTGGATCTTGTACGAGAGACAATTGACAAATCGCATCACTCTGCCTACGTTCCACGCATATGTGTTTCCTCGGTGTAATCTCGGGTGTGAGTTGCACAGCCTTCGATGCTTCGATACTAAAGTACCCTTTCCTCTGATAATGAGTCGCTACCTTTAAATTGCTGCATTTTAACGCTCAAGTTCCCTGATTTTAAACATTTGAGCCTTACTTGAATTGAATTATGTGTAGCTCTGTGTCGATAATCAATGCCATTCGAAAATACATTAAAACAAAATAACCATTGACAATTAACCTTACCTCCGAGTCTATTATTAATGATGCTTGTCACTTCAATAACCTCGTACTTCCAGGATCCATTTTGAATAAACCTTCACGGACACTGTGAATTAAATTAATGATCGCAAATGCTTTGATACCCAAAATTAGTTCCGAAACTAACCCCTCCGTAAAACTACTATCAAATGGCCAGTCTGGTTTAGGCATGTTAGCAAGCTTTCTTTTGTCACAATTGGACAGACAATTGGGAAGCTTATTGAGCAACTGGATCGTTAACACTCACAGGGAATATTTTTATCAGCAATTTGTTAAACACGGGTTTAATTATATCGTCAGATTCGCAACTCCCTAATTTTGTTGAGGACTGTTAAAGCTGTCTCAGATAGCAGGTCTAAAATGATAGTTTGCTGTACAGAACTCCCATAAAATTGACGCCAATCTCCTAAGTGATTTCTTATTGTATGATAAAAACAACCAAGACACGCAAAAAGTAATGTATTTCTTCATGGAACAAAATTTTCGACGTACTTGGTCCTTAAATCAAAGTAGCAGTTCATCTTGGTTGTTAAAATATTTACATTTGCGCAAGGTCTTTCATTGAAATTGACAAATCATATGAATCATCCAACTAGGGAAGCTTACAGTTCGATCTCTCATGGGCTTTGGTCTTTTGCCTCTTTTAAAGAAAATGGTTGTCATCAAGGTAAATGAAATGCGGCCCACGTAACCGCCGACAGTTTTGGCCAAATTACTGAAACTCTACCTCAACCCATGTAACAAGTATGTCCATCAGATTTCAGAAGATAAACTAACTAAGAAGTGCGCAGAAGCTAGCACAATCTGATTGTGTTTTAATGTTTAATCTTTTCAAATCATTTTAATATATGCCTTTTAAATTGTCTTTGCTTCCATTTTAGCAAGCCATCGTCTTTAGTTTTTGGATTAAAAGTCACTGCGAACTAAACTGCATACATGCTAATCCAAAGATCTAATCTGGCCAAAATCGTCAGGTGAACGGAGCCAGTCGCTCAGACTGAGCAATCAATGTAGTTTGCAAAAAATTTTGCTCCGTGACTGGTTGTAAAATTAAAATCATTTTCAACGTACACGTTTTCCTACGCATGTAATATCCTTTCTGTAGATTTGAAAGTACTGATTTTCCGTCTACTTAATCATGAAATAGTCCTTTATAATTTTTTCGCATTTAACAGGGAGGAATCCATTATTGCACCTGAAAACAACCTCGATTTCGTACAGACCCGAAAGTAGACGAAGGCATGGCTTACTATAGTTTTGTTTTATACTTGGCGTGCCCATAAATACCATGGAATACATGCCTGCTGCAACCTATTTATGATTGTTTTTTTCGAAATTGACCAATAACCTACTTATAGGTGCAATTTTTACTGTTCTACCAGCATTACTAACATTAATAATCATTTAGGCTCGAATAATTTCTACGAGCCACCTCACATTTTGCAACACTTTTCCCCCCTCCCCCACAGGAGGCAAGATATTGGGAGTTTTTGCGAACTTCACGAATCAGCTTACCCAAAACAGTCAATCTTGTCAACCCACTTAATTGCTACTCTCAATGCGAATTACTCAGAAAAAAAATTTGACATAAGTGTGCTCCGCGCCATTGTCTATGAAATCATTTTAAATTCGAGACAGAGCTGCAATTACTGCTTCCAATTTTGATTTAAATCAAATTACACATATAATCGAATGAAGATCAATCGCTAGCCAGCTTTGAAAAGAAGAAAAGCCAACGTTCCTATGTAGAAGTACACGAAGTTGTGAACCTCATGCGTCACGTAGCTAAAAAACGAAAAGCAAAATTAATTGATACCTGTCATTAGGTGACTTTCTATAGTCTCAAAAGTTCAGGTTGGCACAGATCTTGTTGGATGCTTAAACCCCATTTCATAATTACAGAGCCTTTTTGGGCATGTAAAAGATATAGGGTATTAGCACATATCGTGGATTTTATTTCCATGGAGTCCCGTTTTCTTTCCAAATGCTCATACCGAAGCCTTTTAGCTAACTGGTTTTGACTACTACTATGTAAAATGCTCATACGTTTAGGCAGGATAACTCATGTGTAAAAGGCGAGTAAGCGTTTAAAATTGCATTTTAGCAGAACCAGAGGTGTCTAGGATGTTAGTTGGTTAATACCGCATGTTACATGCAAGAAGAAGTGTTCTGCTAACCCTTTTTAATACCAACGTCACCACCCGATAAACAGAATGAGGTACAAGTCTTACACATTTTGCAGAAATTTACTTACTACACGACCGTTGATTTAAATGCATTTAGGCGTTAAATTTGCATAATATGAAGGCTTATTAATTGTTTGACTGGCATCTCGAGAAACTAAAAGTTTTTTCTGTGTGAGATTAGGACTCCTTTTAAATAAATTAAACGTTCAACTGGAGATATTTAGTAAAAAACTACCTTCCAAAGTTACGCCCCACAACGCAGTGCCAGGTAGGCCCATAGCGTTTGTCGAACTCTTTTTTGATGTGCGAGGCGATGTCCTTTTCGACGGTGAATCTTTCCAAAGCCCCGCCAGCTAGCTCAACTGCTAAGCTTTGCATTGACTCATCCATGTCGCTATTCCGCACCACAGCCTTCTCACCAGTCATATTCCTTGACATGCTTCTGTTGTCTTCTAATGAAAATTTGCTCTGCCTCGTCTTATATAGCTCAGTAGTCTGGCCTCACCACTTCCAGAATATTACCATTCATTTGCAAATGTGCTGCGGAATAAATTATCCATTGTGATGCATACCTCCTGTAAAGATAATACAATTCCGATCGGAAATGTAAATAAGGGCCACGTCAAAGCCCATTGGGACGTTTGCGAACCACTCGATCTTAGCATTCGACACAAGCCTCTTCCGACTCCCAATGGTGAGACTTCCGATTTGTTGTGGGGTCACCACGTGTTGTGGGTCCCGCATGTGGTCTCAAACCACGCCAGGGCCAGTGAGTTGGATACCGCCTAATCACGCTATTCTGATACCCGCGATGGCGACGAAGATAGGAGAGGACGTGCACACAAGCTCTGACTTCAGAGCTCAACCAAGTGGATGTCGTTGTGACTGATGGAGAATATGACTTTCTAGATAAATTTAACAAGCCGGTTAATTTGGGGATTCTATGAGTATTTTTCAATTATTAGATTTTTTGAGCGCAATGCTATCATGAGTCATGAATAAATGTAGATATTTCAAACGTTTTCACTGCTTTGAGAATTCCCTACTTACACTTTAGGCGATGGAAATCATTTAGAGGTGCGATTCAAATTTACTTTACTGTAAAATGATTTCGGTATTGTAAAATAGAATTGTCTTAAAAGCAATGCACTAACAGATGGACAATGTTTAATGTGCTATGTCACATTATCTGGGCATAATCTTATCTGTAAAGCCCAAGCATCATGCGCAAAAAAATTGTTAATTGCAGACATCCATTTGCAGACAATTTGAACGAAGGTAATCTTGAAGCATTATCTGAGGTAATACTGCTGCTTATAGCCGCGAATGAAACCCGTAAAAAACATGCGGGCCTTCTAAAAATTAGAAATTTTTAATTGGTTATCACTCTCTGCGCAAACACACAAGCAAGGGTAACAAATACGTGATTTTAGCCACCTGTAGAAAAGGTAAAAGCTGTATTTTTTTCCTTGGGTCCCACAGATGAGTACCAATTTCAAAAGGTCTCAATCGGAAAAATGCAAACAATCCATGTAAATTGCAAAAAAATATGTTCACATATTATAATATCTTGGTTAAGATTGATGTCGGTGTTGTGTAAATTTACCGTACCGGCATTCTAAATGCTTCTCCAGAGGCACAACGATCAGTTTATAAAGTTCTCACGAACGCACATTCTAGGAGTCTTGGTATCTGTGACTAGAGTTTGAAGTCAAGGATTTTAATGTTTTTTTATTTGGTTGAGCACTTATTTAAATTGAAGTTTATCTTTATTTTTGATCAGGCTAACTGAGCAGCAGTGGGTCTGCGGCAATGTTATGAGGAATATTTTGTCCCATTGTCTTGAATTATTAGACACAATTTTACCATATGTGTTCCACACATCGTGAACTTTCCAAACAATCTTATACACTGGAAATTCTAGAATACCAAAAAACGTCGGACTTTTCTTTCTATTTCTCATGATAAAAGTAAACAGAATAGAAGTTCAAAGGCTAATTTAACCAATTGGTTAAGATTTCAAAAAAAATTGACAGGTTTGAATATTAAATTGGGACGTCTTATTTTAACGTTCCTTGTTACTGTTGATTCCAGCGCAACTGTTCCTCGTTTCTCTCAATTACTCTCGCAATTAATTTTTAACTTTTATCTTTTGTTTCTTGCATATTTTATACTTAATTTCGTTGGTTTATTGCGTCACTTTAAGCACTGGTAAGAAAAAAGACCTAAGTTTAACCCCGGAGCATCCTGCTTAGCAGGGGCGTACGCGCGCACTTAACGCTTCAAAATCAAGCAACAATTTAGCCAAATGTTGGTACATTTAAGTTCGTAGTTTTGTTAATGATTACATCTAGTCTGCACAAATTTTAAATTATAATATTGGGCGGGATTAGATAGCCTCACTAATTGACGCAGGAAAGTAACATCTTACTGATTTTTAGAATAGTCTTGACACTTGAAACTTAAATTTTTAGCCCTTCTTAAATCTAACACACCCATTTCTTACGCACCCAGGAATATGGGGATTAAAAGTGCTAATTAAAATGTCGAAAAATAATACTCTTTAACGATACAGGGCATAAAAAGAGGTGCAATTGCTTGCATTTTTTATTTGTAACTTCGTTTTTGCATTTAGTGTTGTGAAATTGATGTCTTAGTTTAAAAGCGCATGATCATCATTGTTGTCCCCATGATCCAGGTTCAAAAAGAAACAGGAAACATGTTTTCAAGCAAATATCGCAAGCCTTCGCATAAGCATTTAATTTCGAAATTGTGGGATGCCAATTTAAATTTTATTGATTCCACAGCCACCAATCTCTAATAAAATAAGGCGACGGAAAACCTAGTGGTCATCAACCTTTAGGAATTTTACGTAAGAGATTGTGTAAAAGAATTTAGATTACTTACCTTTAACTCTTTGTGGCATAGAGACAGGGGAACACTTATGTTTGCTGAGGGGAAATGATTTTTAAGGTTAAATTCTACGTGCATATTCAAAAATGACTTATGGGCGATTTCATTTACAAAGAAGTGATTTACCTTCAAAGGTTTGATTTCCACATAATCACTGGATCTTCGGGATATTTGAAACACTGCAATCCCCATAGTAGTCACATATGTTTGATTATGATGCTTATTTGCTTTACTAAAGTGCTCAACCTTTAAACGACTTGTGCCAGATGGGCCAGTAAATTGCAAGCGATTCTTTGTGACCAAGCGATTAATCAGATTTATATTTGGGCATTATCAATATTGTACTTCAGTTTGACGTAAATCGTGCTGAAAACAATACTTATTATTATTTGCAGTCCATAGAGGACAGTACAATTACTGAATATTACTATAAATCTATTGAAAATTTCTGGTACACATCGTAGTTTATAAAATTAAGGCTGGAGTCAGCTCAACTACCTTTGATATCACTTGTGAACATATGATTGATGTAATGTCGAAAAGTACTAGGAAAAGTCACTAAACACTATTTTCGTGGTATTTTATCATATGAATAAGTGTAAACGCCATCAGTCAGGTAGAAGAAGTGTTTTGGTCAATTGCGCAGAGCTCCAAGGTACCTTGATGTAAAACTTCCACGCTGACCAATCAATTGGAGACAATGCAGGATCGAGGCAATGATTTACTTCTCTTCTCTAACGTCCCACTGGAATGAAACGAAAATGCTTGAGCTTTGCTCCATTATGGTTAAACACGGAGTTCCTTTTTGTGCTTTAAAGGTGAGTTTTTGGGGGTAAACAAGGGCCTTAAGAGGACCTCGCCATTTGTTTGCACTTCGCCAAAATTTAATAAAAGATAATATTCAATGATTGCGTTAAATGTTTAGGCTACCATAAATTGGATACAACGTTGCAGTAAAAATTCGCTGTCATAATACTGCATTGTTTTCATTGAATATTTCCTAGCTACCTCATTTTCCAAATTCACTGTGCATGGTAAATTAATGCCAGAATTCATTAAAACAAATATTTTTCCGCTCCAGTGGTACTCATTTCAGATTTCTCGTATGATAAGAGCGTCTTTACGCTAACATTTTAAGATTTCAAATCAAGTTTATCAGATCTTTAAAATATATGGGCACAGTTACTGGAAGACAAGTCTAAGTTACTAGTTAAAAATTCTAGCATTTTGATTTAATACTACTACTGTTCGCAGTCTGTGGTAAACAAAAGCTTTTAAGTAGAGCAACATCGTGAGTTGTGGGTATTAAAATTTAGCTAATTATTTTGTGTATTCCAAATAGTCCAAATCTACCAATTTATTTGCATTCACATAAAGTTAGCATTTTCTATCTTCTGGTCGCCGGAAGAGTTAAAACTGAAAGACTATGTGTAAATAGTTGCAAACTTAAGTTCCAAGTATGATTTACAGGTTAGGCATTTTGCATTTTATTATTGATGGTGTAAAACCACTTCTTCTGTTTCTTAAGAATATTCGCCACGTCTAATTGCATCTGTCGTCTTTGGTAATGCAAACCAGATAAAAACAGACAAATATTTACAAGGAAAGCAAAATAACCGCACATAATAGGGTCTTAAGAGGTTTTTTTTGGAAAAACTTTAAACTTCCACAATAATTCTAATTCACAAGCGCTCAAAATAATGACTAATTCAAATTAAACTGTCTAGAAACAGAGCCAAGAGGAAACAGCAAAACCATCGTCGAAAACGTAAAGACTTCAAATCACTTACAACGCAGATGCCAAAATAAACACATGAAATAGGTGGGTGAAAATTGTGATTTTGCGCTAGGCGAAACCAGTTAACAAGTACCGAGACTTGTAACTGTAATAATGGTTAGCTCTATGTTGCTGTCTTCCCAAGGTGGTCCCTATGGTCCCCTCAAAATGCGGCCACGTTTGGTACGTGGAATGGCAACCCTTCGAAGTAGCTGAGGCGTACCAAAATCTTGATGAGGTTCCACTGCCAGAGGCTCTTCACGAAGTTTTGTTCATTCAGAGAATTAAAGTTAACACATAAAATTTGCATAAAATTGACAGAAATAAAACAGCGTGTCTGATCGAATAATGATTAGCAATGAAGAGTAGATTTATGTATGTGATGCAAAAATGCAAAATTATATGCAAATGGCGACTAAGTATAACAGGCCAAGAATGGTCAAGAACGGTAAGAGTATTATGAGGCATGTAAGTAGGGTTCGGACAAAACAACTGCGGGAGAAGTGGTATTGCCAGCTATTTTAATAATATTAGTATTTTTTACCTGTAACCATGACCACACACTCAGATACCCGGTATTCCAGATCGCTTACATGAAGCGAGACCTAGCCTTCTCACACTGGCGTAAGACTAAACGAGGCCTCGTGTAGAGAGCTTTTGCGGTCTCAGCCAAAGACCGAGTGGTCCGTCTGAATATGCCACTTGCATAATGCAATGATGACCTTGACCTGATGGATAAAGGCTGATTAACACAGTAGAGTGCCATGGGTGACTTGCACGTTCAGTGGCGTGGCAAGAGAAATTGTGTAACCAATTTCGAAATCCTAACGCATGATGAGCTGTCATGGTGAATTCCACATCTGATATCTGCTAAATTTGGCTTGATAGGAAACAGTCATTCAATAAACCTAGTGGCTCTAACTTAAATCCCAACTAAATTACACATGAGATTAGCGGCGATGCAAAATATAGTTGTTATGTTGCACCATCAGGTTTTGATATTCATGGATATTGGGATATCAACATCGAAGCTGCACTGATTTTATCAACAGTTCCCGTATAATCACCTTCAACTTTAGCCTCAATATTAGATCGTGCTAATGTTCACACATGCGGTACCTCGCTGCTCCCTAAACTGTTTTTTTAAAGCCGACGCGAAGTGTTCCGCTATCAAAAAAGACGCAATTTTACAGGAGGTTAAACAATAAATTTTGATATGCACTCTGCAATACTTACAAACACTCAGCTACAAGTCACCATATTCACTTAAATAATTTATTCGTTGGTGCGAATACTCCAAAAAAATAGAATCTGAATTAAAATCAAACAAACGTGTGTTTTGATTGATAGGCATAATTCAAACATTTTTTGCATGAAATCAATTATTTAATATTTTTCTAAACATCGATGATATTTTATTTACCAATGTCAGTAGAATATACTCAAGTCATCATGTTTGAAATTATGGTGCAAACAAAATCTTACATTTAAAATATCTGACACAATGAGTGTGTCTTAAGATAACAGTAACCAGTGTAAGTACCCAAAAAGAGAAATTCTTGGTTAAAAGTACACAATAAGCGCATTTTAGATTTTGTTTATAAAAAATAAGTAAGGGATAGTTTCTTCACAGGGCTGATCCCCTTTTTATAAAACTTACGCATGCCCGTTTGAAAGCACAGCAAAAGCTCAAAATATTTGTGTTATGTGTGCAGAGATGGTCTTTTACGTTAATTCGCGAATTTATGACCATACGGTACGCCACAATCGCCAACTACTAATGTTAAATCATACTGAGAAAAAACCAAAGTACCACTTTAATATTTCATACATTGCATCACCTTTCTTCTGTCAATTTTATTCATTGTAAACACATATGGGGAAATGGTGTGATTGAAATGTAAACTGCCATAACTCGCCTATGTTCAGTCTGATTTGTGAATTTTGAATAACTTCATCAGTACTTGTTCTTCACATGTGCCCATCAATTAAGATTAGTAGAATATGATCTGTTATTAGTCTATTTATTACTCCTTAAACGACATTAAACATTTTCTATTTTGTATTGTCATGAATTTTTCATTTTGTATTCACATACAGTTTGTATGAGCAGAATTTTGTACGGTGGAGCAAAAAGATAAACAAAATATGTTTAAAAAACTTATACGAATATTTGTGTGTTTCTTAGGCAGTCAGTCTTGTCCTGCCTCAAGGTTTTACAAGCTTGAAAATGATGTGTCCAACAAAATTGAAAAGATTCTGTTGTCTAATTGGCTGATTCGTTAACTTGAGGTTTGGTCTACTATTGGTAATCAGAGCATGTGCTTTTGACTGTAATATGGTGGCGCGTTTGTCTCTTCGCGCGTATTCTCTCGAACTGTGAGCTTCTCGTTCAAAGTTTCCAGAAAAATGTACGGTTTGATTACTATGGTTACGATTTTTTTTGTGTTTAGCCAGTTTGCTCCTCTATTTAACATTAAACATTCAGATGTGAGAACCACTTTGTTCCGAATTCAAAATATTGTAGCATCACTTTGTGTTTCGCCCTATGTAAAATTTTGGGAATTATATTAAATTTAAGAGCGATCGGTGTTCTGGTCACATTGCCATGTTCACAACCGTGATAAATGAGCTCTTACGCTGTATTTGCTTTGATCGTTTGTAGACTCTCTATTATTGTTCTTTGATATAGACGGAGTATCCTCATACATTTAATTTTGGGATGGTCTTCTCTTTGGGTTTAGTTTGATACTTAAACTTTATAGAATCTGAGGGCAATATCCTCTTATGCACCTCAGAGTGTCGGATTTTGGTTAGTTCATCGCGTTCAGAATATTTCGGTAACTGGATAAGACTAACACGTCTGTACGACGGCATTTCATTGCGGCTTCTGTGTATGCTGACAGCCTTTCACCCCCCAAAGAACTATATCTTTATGGTTGTTGCCATTAAGTTTCAAACATTCTAACCTACTCAGGCATTAGTGGAAGTGCTATTGCATCATTCTTAGTGCCGAAATATCTCAAGTTCTCATTCAGTATTACTTAGTTTATATTTCAGTTTTAGTCCGTTTTCATTTTGTTAATTCCCGAAATTTTGCCAGGCAGGTTTCTATGATTATTCTGGATTAACTCCGAATTCGCTGTTCCCTACGCATGTATCTGTTTAGATATCCCTTAAAGATTTCTAGACTTAATTGCATGGCACAATGTGGCGACTCTGTATTGTTCCAAGGCCGTTTCATACAGTTCATTTTAAAGATATAATTTCCACTGGGGTGTTTTCTTTATTAAAGAACATGACTTGTCATCTTCCTGTACTTAAATGTCTTTGGATTAGATCAGTTTAACGTCTAAATTTTGACGCACTTTTATTTCCTTGACCTTAAGGATATTTAATGAGGAATGCGTCGATTTAATGGATGACTTTGAGGACTTGCTGCCACCATTTCTACTGCAGCGAACAGACATACCAGGTGCGCGTCACTTGGTTTTCGATTTTTATGTACAACTCTAGACTCATCTTCAACTGCATTTGCAAACGAGGAATGCGCTTTTCCAGATGAAACCTTGAACATCTCAGACTCAACTGATGTAGTAATTGTAGAAGAAAACGATCAGCCACTAAAACAACCTGAATCAAGTCGCGTCCTGCGACCACGCGCTATAATTGATGCCGTCCACCTCAAGCGTCCATCGCCACGAAAACCAATCTATAAGAATGTCACAAGAAGTAAAAAGGTTGGCTTTTTCCATCATTTGACATTTGATGCCTGTTTTCTGAAATATTTTGACCCATTTTTGTCAAAATTAGTCAAATGGTCGTCGGAACAAAATCAAAAAGGCAATTAATCACCCGCCTGCGGAATCCGCCTGTCCTACTCCAATGCCTTGTCAACACCAAGTGATGCTGGGCCTCCCCTCTGTTCACGACCTAATTGATCTTGCGGCCTGTATTGGGGCTGCTCTCTCTGCTTCAAATAAGGCCGTTCCGCCCCCACAGCTTAGTTTACAGAAACAGACGCAACCAGTTACATCGTCACGATCGCAGAAGCGTAAACAAGCTACAATCAATACTATTACTAACACAGCTGAAATGGAATCTACTGCTATTTTGCGTCGCAGCCGTGCAGTCTTTTCGCGTCTTCAGTCGAAAGCCTGTAGGGTAGCTGTTAGTCGTTCGTCTGAATTTCTTCTCAAACACCCCTTCCTCTATCCTTGGGAACGGGACGAAGATAGAATGGCTGGAGGGCAATGGCGAGATCGGCGTGACTGTTACAAAGTACGAATTCCCCAAAAATATATATTTTCAGTTTGTTGATTCTCGTGTAAACTGTGCGAAAATGTCATATTGAGATTTCATTCTGAAATGAATTCCTTGTGTTGTTCTTGATCTTTCAGATTGTAATACGTGCACTGAGGTTTAATGACGCATCCCTTAGACATTTTCATTCAAGGTTCGGTCTTGAAATCATTGGCAGTTACCACTAGTGTACAGTTTAGGTCTTTCCTGTAATTTGCAGTACGAATTCAGCACACTTTTTTCTACGCTTTGTTGGCAGAAATCAACGTTTCTTTGTCAAATTATTATGGTTTCTCTTCTAGGCGCTTCTCAGAAGCCTCGAAGAACGAGTTCAGTATGTAGACACTGACTCCGATGCCGAGAATTCGCCGCCATTACCACGCTCCGGGGAGCCACGTGCCTCAGGCAAGCGGCAACCCAAAGTACCTCAACGGGCCGTCTCTCCTGATGCGACCGACAGCTCGGGACGGTGCATCTCGGCGCTCGAACCTTGCCTTCTGGGCTACCGATGGTCCCCAGGGCATCCACCAGCAACATCACCGGAAAAAATGCTGTTCTGGCGCTGAAATGTGTTTGCTTTTACCCCTATAGATTTCTTATGTACTATTTTTATGGAAAATAAATCCTGTATTCCAATCTTTCTTGTTGATTTCTTTCTACTTAGCAACTCTCACCTACTTTTTCCATACAGTTTTCTACCATGGGAGCGCTTAAATGGTTGACGATTGCCATTTTCGTCGTGTCGGTTGCAAATTCAATTGAGGATGAAGAGTATGTGTGGATGACAGACCCACAAACTCAAGAACGTTACCAGGTCCTCCGGTCTACATATGATCGGGATAAGGTGTTCTTCGTGGGAGTCTCCACCTTATCTAATCGATTTTCGCCGTCATACCTCGATGTACTAGCTAATCAATGCTATGCTATGACAGGTCCTCCGAGTCTATTCGAGTTCCTGAATCACACTTCGACCGCAGTCGCTGAGTTTTGCTTCAACCCAGACATCTATTCCTACTCGTTCGAAATTTATTTGCGCCTATTCGAAACTATCCGATGGGGACCCTATATGGTGGCCGGTCTTGTGGCTGTTGGGTTCACAATTGCGCGCTTCTTCTTCACCAAATTCTTCCTTCAGGTAACGCATCCTTAGCGTAATTCCTTTTGTCAGTAAGAAAGCACTATGTGTAAATAAGTACTACAACAGATTTTGATGCGAAATTTCCTAAAATGAGGTCTCTTGATAAGATTAGTGCCGCGTTAAATTTCTCCCACGAAAACGCATTACTTGTTGCATAGGGCTGAACACTGAAGGCAAACGTTAACTCATCCAAGGCGTCTTTTGCGTTTTTTACATTCAATAAAGTGGTTGTGAGGACTCCTACAACGCGAAAAGGTGCCCGCTCGACTGAGCACTCTCATTTGTAAGCCTTATATAAGTAACTTATAAACTGCCATAATTTGAGTCATGAGAGTTAATATTTTGGTGCCTAGTATCAATAGTCATTTGTAAAACTAAAGTCAGGTGTAGGTTTAATTCTTTCTGGCTGTGCCCTCGCGCATTTTGTCAACATTGCGAAGTAAATATTTGCTCTTGTCTCTTCCTCTCTCAGTGTGTGTGTGTGTTTGCGTGTGAGTAATTATTCCTTAGATCTGGATAATCGCCGGAAGGGTGTTTATTTATTTTTTAATTACGACCTTCTGTGGTGCGTGAACAGAACTGGTGATTAGCAAACCGAGTTTGTAGTTGCTCAAAAAAATTATTTCACTTTCCTCTAAACTGGTGAGCTGTTTCTGTTGTCGAGCGCGTCTGTAGAAATATGTTGAAGTCACTTCTGAGTAGTTCCATTATTCTATCAAATCTTGTAATTTCTATTTTCCTGTATAACCACCCTCAACTTTAGCCTCAATATTAGTTCGTGCTAATGTTCACACATGCGGTGCCTCGCTGCTCTCTAAACCGTTTCTTTTAAAGCCGACACGAAGTGTTCCCTAGACAAGTCCTCTGTGATCAAGGCTCTAATTGACTTTCCAATGTCCCAATGGATGTTGCACCCACCCATAATAGACCAACACTATGACCCTTTTTGCAACTACGTGCACAATGAGCGGTCTGGTCTTGATATGTCTTGGCTTATGCTGCACCAACTAGTCCACTGGGAGACCTTTCCTTTCTATATCCATTAAAAAACGGGTTTCTTTCATTGTGATTGAAACGGTATGCGTTTTTTACATTTTAAGAGACAGAAGTCGATTGAGGGTTCACTTGGTGCCTTTAAGAATACAGAAGCACCTTGATTGCGTCCGTCATGAAATCTTGCAAAACGTGTTTGGAAGTTATGCTGCCATGCTACTGAAATGACTTCCTGAGTTCTCTTTTCTAGTATCTGATTCTAGACAAAGGGTGTGTATGTCCGAGGTACACCCAAAGTACCGCCAGGAAGTTGTGAATTAGAAGCGCTGAAAACACATTGTAGTCATGTGAGAAAGGGCAGTGATGGCATACAATCCCTGCAACTTTCACTCTAGCTCCTAGTCGTGTCACTGTGATGTATTTAGACGAACTTATCGACATCAAAAGGACAAGTGTCCTTTTAAAATTTTGGCTAAACAAATGCTTGAAGATGCAGGTAGAACAAAACAGCGAGACTTGTCTACTCATGCGGAATGTATTGACTGGTCCTACTTTGCACCAATGAGCTTAGCTTCATTCGTTTCACAAAAACTGGTAAATGGGAATATGGCGTAACATAAAAATTGACTGTGAACACTCTGCCACTGATGGCGCAGATAACATTAAAATTAAATTGCGCTATGCTGCCGATGCGATGAACAGAAAGGAATTTCAATAGACAGGGATTGGTCTGTACACCGATAGTTTGTCAAAGAGCGTTTGGAGGACCGGTGTCCTTAATCGCGTCATTGGTTATATGGCCTTGCTATTCTCTCCCTTCAAGGCCCTTTTTTACTGATTATCTCTCGGTTAGTTATATTTTACGGATTTAAGGTGTTGTTGATTGCTTTAGACGAAAATCGGGCAGCCGTTTACTACAGAGCACTCCCAGAGAAAGGCGATGACGCCATTATGGAATACGATTTCCTATTCTCTTCTCTTCATTGTTGAATCCGCAATTTTACTCAATTCTGGGTACGAGGATTTTGTCTATCCATTGTGCATCTTCAAGAAAATTCACTTCAAGCGTGAGTTAAGTTTTAGATTATCTGCCTTGCCTTTTAAAAATTAAAGATTTGACAATTGCACTGACATTGAAGGGAAGACGCTCATGTGAGTTGTCGAGAGTTGATCTCCTTCAGTACCTCGCATCCCTATTGGCTCCTGGTGTGTTTATTACCTGTGTGCCTTCTTGAATCTCAAATGCAAGCCATAACTTGGTTCAAAAGGACATTGACAACTATATTCGGACCACTTCGCCTCCACAACAGTCATTTGTTTAACCGCTTTGACCACTCGTGTTCCGTCCAATATCAAACCCGTTGTTTGTGCCCCTGTTTTGTGGGATTCGAAGACTGAATAAAGCCAGTGCAACGTAATTTCTGATTGAACAAATTAAATGCTTAATCTTAGATACGTTTTTGGTTGTGAAGTGACCTTGCTTGCTGAAATGTTGTGGATTAATATGCCTACATCATGTCATATTTTTCACAGTAAAAACACACTGTGTTTGTCTTGACAGTCTGCTAATTAACATAACGTTACTAGAAAAATAATTTGCTAAAACAGTTCCTAAAACACCATTCAATGTTTACCATCGGAGTCAGGTTCATTGTATTCTTGCTGCAACGTACAGCTTTGCAAGAAAAATAGACTTCTCACTAGGTGATGCACTTCTCTTATCCTGTGGTTTTGAAATATCCGCTACACGCAATAACACTTTTACGCGGCCTTTTAAAGAGGCTAATTGCGACACCTACTTCCAAGCACCTTCTTTCAAGCTGCTTATTTCAGTACTGCAAAACACGTGATTGTGATTAACCTAGGTGGTCTAGTTATGGATTGCTTTGACCCATTGGAAGCAATTTCTATTGAATTTTACTCTTGACGCACAATTTACTTATGCTAACTCAAACTTGAGGTTTTTATGATGTTTACACGTCACGAAAATGCTGCGGTGAAACAATAAATTGGTGTGGTATCTTTTTTAACACCCTAAAATCGTTTGCTTTGTATTGTTGCTAAAACTATACCGAAAAACTACAGAAAGCCTTATTAGTGTGCTTTTGTTATCTAACAACGTTTTACAAGTGTTGATATGTACTCTGAAACATGTGCCAACAGCCAACTATAATTTACCCCATCCAATAAACTGATCTTAAGATTTCCTTACCACTTTTATTGAACCTACATAGGTCCTTTATATATGCAATTAAGGCCCTGAATCTATAAAGTCCTGTGTGTTGTGCCGTTCACTTTAAATCACTAATTTCAAACTTTGACGAACACGTTTTTGTTCACTGACATCAAATCAAAGCCTCATTTAACTTTAGTAAGTCGTGTCAGGTCTTATGTCAATTTCCTTTAGTGTATGCTTAACTCGGAAAATCAAATTTATTTAAACTTGTATCCCTTGATTTCGAGGACTTTCGAAATGTGTTTCAGATAAATGGATAAGGCGAAACTTCTTTGGTTACCTGCTCCAATCATTCGGTGTATGCTTACGTGGTATAACTGGGATTTAGTCTTGTTCCAACACAATCGAAGTCCGGTGTCGCCTTGCTCCCGTAAAGTGGCGCTGCACCGTCAGCGTCAAAATTAGGCCAAAATTATCTTAAGAGGCCCTCTGATCAAATGCAAAGCTGGATGCGTTCTGACTAAGCGCCGTACTCCAAATTTGTTGACATGCGTCGTAATTGTGACTGCTTTGTGGTAAACTTTCAACGCCACGTTTTGTGTGGCAGAGGTTGAGATTGCTGCTATCTTCTACGCACCACCATATGAACGTAAACACACATGCACGCGGCTGATTTCGGCGGTCTCTGTGCCTGACTTTGGATATTGGGGGCTTGCTTGAGTGCCTTGTAGGATTTTGTTTCAATTGTTTTTTTTCTGGTGACTACAATTCGGGTGCTCCGTTTTGTGACTATATGCCCCCACCCTTTGAGCGTAAATTTGTGTCTATTATCATGGATATGCCAAGCACTTTAATTTACCTAATAGTGTCAAATTATGCGCTGCAATTGAATGATATGTGTATTCATTTAGTAGTTATTCGAACAACGTTGATGAATGTGCCAAAATGCCCTTTGCTGTAAAGGAATGCAGAATGTCACTTCTTGCACCTGGAAGGATATCTTGTGTTATTCAATTATCTTCTGATGCTTGTAGCCACTCATTTGAAGAATGGTGAAAAAGAGTCCTCTTTACTGAATTTTCCTTGCATTGGAAGCGCGCTTTTAGCTGGCTCCTGTTTAAATCTCAGTGGTAGCAATTTGACGATCGGTATGGGATGCACGCTGATTACCTGAAAAATTCATTTTCTGTTTGCATTATACTTCACTTATGCAACACAATCATGAGTTTTCCTCTAACAGTTCTGTTTTTTACCGTAGTGCTGGTTGCGACTGTTTGACCATTTACGCATATTTTAGAATAAGCCCAGTGGGTCTTTTTTATCCTCGGTTGTTTTGGTTTAAATATTTTTCGAGAGTAAAACGGAATCTGCTAGGCGACATCTTTAGGGTATAGTTATGGGGTCCACTTGAAAATGCCTTCATTCCAAAGTCTTTGAGAACGTTTTGCCAGCCCTTCCCGACGCGCGCGCATCTAATTGTCGTGAACAACTTCCTTGGATAAGTCTACAGATTAAGCCCTGTTGTCTCAAATTCACAATATAAAAGAGGCTTTTTCCTAGGTGTAAATGAAGGGAGCGTCACGATATAACTGAACTGAGCCTGGTTATGTGTTACAAATGCTGCATTTTGCAAATTCCCTTTTCTTTATTTCAAGCCGGTTACTTTGATGAGCCCTTTCCATGGCAATATTACTGGCTGTACATGTTTCAAGTCGGCTTCTACATCCACTCCTTCTACGCCGCTCTGCGACTCGATAATAAACGAAAGGACACATCTGTGATTCTCATTCACCACGTCCTCACAATCGCCCTCCTCTCTTTCTCCTTCTTTGCCAGGCCAGTCTGCTTTTCTACCTTTTGTCTTCCTTTTGCCCAGAGTTTTTGATATCACGTGGTGTTGATGTAAAATGTGATTAAGCAAAGCTAAGCACTTGTCACTCCAGTAAGAGAAGTCTTCTTCTTGCAAGAGTCCCTCAATTCAACTCCGGGGGGAATTGCGGGAATCCTTTTCATAGACAATACTTATACCATCATCCCGTTATCATTTATTCCACTTACTAGCATCATGTAAACTTTATAGATCTTGTAAACCGTGATGATTTTTGTCGTCGCACTTTCACAGACGTGTTACGTAAGCCCTGCGATAAAAGCGTTGTGCCATCTTCGCGCAGTTTGTTAACACAACGAATTTCATTGATAGCGCTGTTAAAATTGCGGGTCGCGTTTTGATCTGCTTTTAATTCTTAAAAAAATATCCGTCGATCCCCCAGTTGTCCGTAATTGAAAATAAGTGATACGCTGATGTGATTTATATGAATCGCAACTTAAATCAAGTTAGTAATCACGTGGATAGTCGTTCCTACTGATGATGAAAAAACTTGTCACACGGCCCACCAATGTCAGACTGCCGAGTCGTCTGTTAGGCTGTCAACCTAACTTTGATGGGATTACGCAACCTTCTCCGGTTGTCATATTCTCTCATTTAGTACTGTTAATTAAAACTCCAACGATACATTTTTAAAAATTGCGTACCCACGAACTTTGGTTGTAAACTAACCGGTTCGGTGCCAAACCCATTATTCGGAATATTAACCTATGTCACTAAACCTGGGCTTCTTAAAGTGCATACATCGGTAATTTATGCTTAGAGTTTAGCCGCTCTCCATTACCTCGCCACCATTGACCCTTCATTCAAGTTTAAAGTGTACTGCACCTAGTCCTGATTTATAATCATACGAAGCCGCTATGTTTATCTCCGTTCGCAACGGTACATGCGTTGATTGTGTTATCCTCTGGCAGTTAGAAGGTATTTTACTCAAATTCCTATTCGGTTGATCTTTCAAACGCCACCACGAAACCGATTGTGTGGGTGTGAATAATGTGACTAGAAGACTAGCAAATTTTTCACAAATCCACTATTATTAGTGTCTTCTGTATCGTTCAATATTTATCCCCAATGTTATACAGACCGTAGTCCGCCTCTGGATCACTTTCGATACGCCGTTCTACTTATTCAAGTTGTATCGTTATGTCACAACTCAGATAACTGCTGTTGTTTGCCTCCTGAGTCATGTATTTAGCGAACACGGGGAAATCGCTTTGCCTAATACAAATTATTTTTTATTTGCCTTGCAGATTTTATCGAGTAGGGTTGTTGGTTCTCTTTCTACACGACATATCTGATGTGATTCTTGAGTCTGGAAAATTTTTAATTGCTCTTCGCTCAAAATTTCCAGCTAATGCCACCAGGCTTGAGCGTATCGCAAACTGCCTATTCGGAGCTTTTGTCATAAGCTGGTAAGTTACCCGAGTGAAATGCTCTTCTTTTCTCCTCTTGTTATCGTTTTTGGTAGATAACAAAGAAATTTGTTCACCGGCATGTCCAAAATATTGAGTTCTCTATGATGCCCAAAATTGATTGTCTTGTTACAGCGCGAAATACCTCTAACTACCCAACAGGGATTGAGCCAGCAGAGGGACAGAGAGATAACCGTTTATTCGAGAACTCGATCAAGTCGTCGCCTGTGTGTGTCTGTGGTTGTGTCGAGTCCAGTCGCGTCGTGTGTGGCGTTTGCGCGTGCGTATTTATAGCTCAGAGGTTTGAACCGTCGTGAGTCATAAATGTGCTTACATCGAGAGCTAGGTGAATGTTATCAAGCGGGGTGATAATTTCGGATGACCGTTCGCGTTAATGAGGTGTGAGTTGAGGGTCCGCCGGCTGACGGCTTGCTGTGAAAAGGGGGTGGTGTGTCGGAGGATAGAGCGACTGGTATAACGAGTGTGGATCCGCGGTTCTCGCAAAATGACCTCTCGCATTTTAACCACTTTACTTAGAAGCAAATGGGCTTAAGACCACGCAAACTTCTTCATGAGGATCTACCATCACCAATTAGATGCAGCAAGGAATAGCTAGTCAACGCAAGAGCGATGAAATGCCAAAAGCTGTTTTCTTGTAGATGGCCAATGACATCGCCATTTGTTGGTTTAACGCCAGTAGCAACTGCTTAATGCCTGTCAAGATACACAGGTTAAAACAGAAAAGAGAAAAACCGGTGCAACGTAATGTCGTGTTTCAGCAAAACAATATTTGTCACCAGAAAGTCGTTGGGCTCTTAAAATCCCAAAAAAACTTACTCCAACATTCCTTCATGTTTGTTTTGTTTTTTATAAGTCCTTTGCTTTTATTTTTTGGCATTCGTGCTCTTAGGTTTAGGAGAAGGATTTCTACTTCGTAAAGTTTTTAAAGTTTCACTTAATAATTCAAAATGGCGTCTGTGCAAAAATACGGGAAGGTAACTAACTGCCCGTTTCTTAACGAATCTGTGGAGTTATTTACCGTTTTATTGTGAGTGTAATTTAATGCTGATGCTTGTACCGTTTCTCATGTTGCTTTCCATCAAAATGTTTTCAAGTAACGCATCAAGCAAACATGCTGATTGGAGTGATTCTGGTTGACCATTGTCTCTCTTAATATTCTAATTGGTTATACAGAAGTATGTGGTCAGGCGTTTTTTATCACTTTTTTTCTTAAATTATTTTTGAGTATCTCTGGACAGTAAATGTTGCTTAATTAGTTTTAATCAAATATTACAACTATACGTTTGACTTTTGACTTGCCTGGGGCCCCCGTCCTGACCGCACTTAGCCTTTGGCTGCATTTCCATTTCAAGCACCAGCCTTCGACGTGCATACTTTCAGTTTAAAGTTTAAGCACAATTCCTCAAGTGTTGCATTATTCTCTTGAGTTCGATTTCGAGTGCGTGCACTACCGGCTGACCTGTTCAATATGGCTTAAACAAATACGGGCCTTTTGGGCTTTATTCGGTACTCCCCTGTTCAACTTCACTTGCTTTGTCGTTTTTCCAACCAATAGCTGCAGGGTATGAGTGTGACGAGCCAAATCAAGCCTCCTTATTATTCCTGGTGTCTTATTATATCTTAGCTTGTCATTGGACAACCAGCAGTCTTCAAGTCTTACGGACAATTAAGCAAACCCTGGATTCTGTCTTTACCGTTGTGACCACCATTTAATTGCCAAGTAGTAGAAAAAATATTGCTTGCGCCTTTACGTTTGCTCTGGTCGCCAATTTTGTGGTCGAATCAAATGTGGCCTGTTGATTGTTTGCCACATACTCTTCCAGCTTGCCCATCCATACCGTGTAGGTGCAAATAAGTTTGCATGTGCCCCCCAGCCAAGGGTCCTAAAATCGGTAAATACTAAATTTATCAACGTTGCCCTATGTTAGTGAAAAAGATAACGGTTAAACTTTTTCGAATTAACTGTGCGCTAAATTTGGCCTTGGTGTTCTTCAAGGGGCTTGTTGATGCGTAATCGGTTCTGGTTTAGCTTTTTTTCAACTTTCAAGCAAAACAATAGGCGTGTGGTTGTTCAAGTAGACTCTCATTTTCCTCTGATTTCGTGCCCCTGTCCATTTGTGGTTGCTAAGTCCACTGCCTAATTTGAGGTGTTAGCATTGCTGTAGTAAGACCACAGCAAAACGCTCCCTTTTGGGTTCTTTTCTGTATTTGAAGATCAGGATGAAGCAGGAAAAATAATTTACCTGAATGCATGTTTGTGTTTGCGTCAGCATAAATTTTTTGCAATAAAAACTTCCTTGGACCGACTTTAAGTTGTGTGTTCCCTTTAAATTACTCTCGTCACCGACTTTGTGCTTTTCCCACATCCGTCGATTTTATGCGCTTGGATTGTTTACTAGCTTGGTCGCCCGTGCTTCGGTAGATGCCTACCAAGCGGGTTCATAGCCAGCGGCATTCCCGTGCCTTTATTTGTTTTTTTCCTTGTGCTTAGAGGCGATTACAAGCTTTTCCCTATATTGATTTTCAGGTTCTACCTTCGAATCTACCTTTTCCCCACTAAAGTAATTTACGCCACGACCTGGGGGGTCTACCTTACGCACCTCGACCGAGAGGCCTACTTTTTCCTCTTCTTCAACACGATGCTCGCTGCTCTCTACCTCCTCCATATCTATTGGTCTTACGTGAGTCTTCTTGCTTTATAAAAATTATCTGTTCCACCTGATAGTGAAGTCTTAGTTGCAGGCCGCCGACATCTAAACCCAATAATTTTTACCTTAAAATCCGCACTTTGTTCTGTTCTGCCTTGCCTCCATGCTACCTGAATCTGATCAATTGAAAGTCATTATTATTACTACCCATCTGTGTGATTTGAAAGGCTTTGTGTCACGCCACAAATATCGTTTAAACCTTCGCCCTTGGTATACCAAGTTAGTATATTGGTTCCTAGTTGCACACTCATATACAGGGTGGCCCAGATGCAAATGGAGTGGACTTATTTCACTATCCTTAACAAATGTTTAAAGTGTAAACCATTACTTAAAACACAGATGTTACATCTTTCAATGGCTATGGAAAAATTACTCCATTAATTTGTATTTTTTGCAATAAAGACGCCTCAGTTACATCTAGCTTTAATCACTAAACTGGCAGAGAAAACATCAAACCCCGGTACGCGAGAGCCTTCTTTTTGAATCGCGCGGCAATGGTCACGGTAGGACAGGGGTAGCAGAGATATTAATCGCTTAAACAGGGCCGCGGACCTAACTAGGTCGAAGACGGAAAGATAATTGCACTCTACCACCTGGCGCGGTGCAAAAGACAACCACCCACTCTGTTTTATACGTTGATAATGCAATGCCACTGGGTAGACTGTTGATGTGATTTTTTTGTTATTTGTTATGCAAAAGACAGCCACCCACTTTCAGTTTTATACGTTGATAATGCAATGCCACAGGATAGACTGTTTATGTGTTTTTTTGTTATTTCGTTTCCAGTTTATTGTCGTAATGCTGTGTAAGAAAGTAATGGGCAGGATGCCGAGAATAGAGGACGAAAGGGATTTCGAATCAGACACCTCAACCAATGGATTCTGCAAACCGGTTGCCAACGGCGTGTTAAATCACGAGAAGGCACAGTAGGCACAGCTCCTCCTCCACCCCAGCGAAAACCCCACCCCCCCCCTCACCGCCAACCCGTTCACGTGCATCTTCATCGTGTAATTATCACATGCGCTAGATGTAAGATGAATTTCTGGAACCCGGCACACTGTGCGTCGCTCCTCGCTCCTTCACCCGTGTTTTTTTATCTGTCCCCGCTCTTTTTGGTTACCGCACAAAAACACTCAGGCTGATACTGAACGTGCTTTTTTTTTATTTTTTTTAACGCACTTAGCACTCTTATCCCTCACCTAGTCTCGCCTATTGGTACTTTGCCTAAGAACCTGACTTGTTTTTATTTTCAATTCTGCAACAGCTACCACCCTCACCGCCACCGCCGTATAGTTTGCCCATGCTTGTATCAAATTGTTTTTTTCCCAATTGGGTAATAAAAATGCTTATGTGCTGTAAAGTTAGTTTTGATGTGCTACTTAGTAGCCCGTGATAGCTTCACTCTGAGCACGAAGTCGAGTGTTTGGTGGCTCCAGGAACACGCTCACTACTAAACCTCAATAGAGGTCAACCACTTTTTGCGCTTTAAATCGTAACTTATCTGGCCTCGCTGGAGGAAACCCATCGGAACGAAGTGGTCAGGTCAGTTAACACCTCAAAACTACCCAGGCCAGATTGCATAGGCATTTCGAGTTTCCCTGTCAGAGTACACGTTCTTTCCTAGCTTTAATTATTGAATGTTCTGGAGGTGAAGTGGAATCCTATACAGTGAAGCATATTCTCGCGCATAGTTATTTCGATTAGCAACTGGAATTCGAAGTAAATCCGGTACAATTAAAGGGTATCTCGTCGGTACTACCGATTGTTCGGGCACCGCTTGCTTTACCTGGTGGAACCGACAGGGCAGCACCCATCCTTAGTGCACCCAAAATAAGACCCAATAAGCACTTGTCTAATGCTTTGCGAAGAACCGCCCGCAGACCTCAGACGATTCACGTGGCGCATTCTTGTTATGGTGGCTTGCCGACTCCTGCTGGCTCTGTGGAATGCATTCGCGTGACTCATTCACCGCCCAAGCACGAAGGTTTGCTCTTCTACATCTCATACACTGAAACCTGTTCGCTGACTTATACCCAAGTACCGACATTATGACCCTGCGCGTACATGTCCTTATCATCTCAGTCCTGCAAGTAGTCTTACCTCAAAATTCGACAATCCTGATAGACTTACTAAGAAAAAATCTGTGATCACAAAGGAGGACCACCCATAGCATTGGCCTAGTCAGAGCACTTTCCCTGTTTCCCACAAACCAGAAAAATTTTACTGATACGAATATAGAACAAATTATATTCACCCCAGGAGTTTCCTCTACTTGAGAAATTTGAGTGACATGTAGCCCATTACAAGTAGGCACATTTACTCGACATAAACAGCGGTCGAATTCGGTGTAGTTTGTGACGCTCGTAATGTATTAACCTTGAATACAATCTGTGTGTGTGTGTGTGTGTGTGTGTTTGAATCGGAGACCGCATTGCAATGGTCTGAAAAAAATATCGATGCAGTCTTGCTGAAAGTCAGCAAAATGTTGCAATGATGTTTAGGTATATTCGCAGAAACATGCTCAATTAAAGCCGCCCTTTAGCAAATTTGCTAACCCGATTCTTTACTAATGGTATCAAGAGACCTATCCACTTATTGAGCAGAGCGGTCGCACAAATGGGAGAAATGATTCACGTTTTGAAGTGAGTTTACGATAGCAGGAGTAAAAGGCAAAACACCTTGTCTGCTGAAGAAGCAGGATGTAATAAGTAAACACCAGCAGGGTCAAAGTAATCAGTCTGGTTATTTTCAGACAAGTTTGAGAAGATTTGGCACGAGTTTACCAGTAGGCGTTTGGGTCGCACTTTAGTGAGGTTGTCATGTAGGCAATACGAGGTAGAATAGAATGTGGGGGATCGAATCCGGGCAAGCAAGTGTTAAAGGGAAGCCAGCAAGACGGAAGTGACCCGGCATATCTGGTTTACTAAGAAGCAAGTGGGATCAAGACCACACTAACCTCTTTGTAAGGATATGCTGCTACCATAAACTGTACCCAAATACAAAAAAACGGCTACATTAATATCCCCACAACAAAATTATGTCAAAAGTTAAAAAAAGGCAGAAAAAACCTACTGAACTACGTCGTGGTCAGCAAGAGAGTTGAGTGGATTAATAGTGTGCATGTGAGAAAACGAATGTCACTGAGTTCAGCAACTAGGAAGATGAGTCCAAGACACGGGAAATGAAAGCGACGATTCGCGTATAGACTTCATCTTGGCGGTCCTTTGGCTTACAAATGTCTGAATGGTCGGTGTCGACAAGCACGACCTCCGAGAAATCCGTATCTACAATTATTTTTTTAAAAACGCATCTAAGTCTTTTCCAAGATTGATTAGTTAACAAAAACAGATAACTTCAAGTCACAACAAAACAATGCATTAAACAAAAATGAATTTGGCAGTGTAGATGAGCAGACCGTGTCATTTCGTGTAGTTTTCTGATACGAAAAAGCGTCTCTAATTTTGTGAACGATCCTGTGGAACACGAGATGGAATTGGGAGAGGGCACTGATTTCAAGGTGAACAACAACTCCTCTCGCCCAATATTTGGTGGTCACAAGTAGAGCAAGAAAGGCCTGAGCTTAGTCCGACTTTAGACCATGCCGGGTTCACTGTCGACCGGAGAACCGTCAATAGACACAGCAGATGGCACGTGCGATGCGCGTGCCATGTGATCAGTGATGTGCGTTCCGGTTGAGACTGCAGCACACCAGTGTGTACCGCGGCAAGATTGATTTGATGTTCACTGGTCTCGGTAAAAAAAGCACAAAAACTAGTCAAGATGCATTAATTCGTGGAAATTAACAGATGGATCAGAACGCATGCAGGAAAACGTGCGTGTAAAATTAAAAAATTGTTAATACGAGTATACGTAGAACAATGTAATACCTGAACGCACTGAAAATCTACGTAACAACAACAGGCATGTCATTTATTAAGTGGCGTCACCCGAAATGTAACTGCATGGAAGTCGTTGTTCGCAAAAAAACATCGCACTCCCTGGCAATCACACCGTTTGCATTCATTGGATGAAGAGGCCCATTCCTGGATGTAGTCAATGCGGGTTCCCCCAACTAATTCCACGACCACATTGTCGATTCATTTTTAATTTCCTATCACCGTTTGTAAAAAGGCCCTTTTCTTGAAGCACGGAAGCGTAAACTAATACACGAACGATGGGATGCACACCAGCGACGTGTAGGATACCCAAAGACGTTAGCGGTCAAGATATGTTCATACAAGATCGCACCAAGTATTGCACAGTACACATTCTGAAAACTGTAGCGGTTATTAACAAGTTCTCAAAATCTCGTATTCGCTAAATTGAAAATAACTTCGTCTATAGTGAAAATAAGTGCCATTCAGAAGGGATTTTAATTGACCATTGCTATGTGATATAATTTAAAATGGTCCTTTGACCTGGAACGTTACAAGAGTCAAGCCCAACTTTGCTTGCGCTCTTATCGTATCCACGAGACATTATTGCCTATTTACAGACATCAGACTTCGGTGTCTTCTTGGCCATAAGGTACAAATAGCACTCAAGCGAATGTAGAAGGGGAAGCTTAAAGTGTGACTCACTCAAGAGGTCTCTTTGGTTTGGGTCATTTGATAACCAAATTAAATCCCCAGGAAAGACTGCACTCCATTAGACGGTCGGGTGTTCCAGAAGAAGCATGCAACATCACAGTTAAGCACAAAACCGATTCAATGATGGGCCAGAAATAGACAACCAATGGGAGGAAAACTGGTGTAAATGCTAAAGGCAGTTGTGCTAGAAAGTATTTTAACTAAACAGTGTATTGAAAGGGCGAATTAAACCGGAATTCCGTTTAACATCCAAATATTGCGTGTTAAACCACGAAAACTTAAACAATTTGCCTTAAAATTACGTAATACACGCTAAATAACATGGACCGCCACAACGACGACGATTGGGGGCAGCGCTGTTAAAAGAAAGACGAAATAGGGTACGATTGTACCATTTCGACCTGTAAATAACAGATGTAAGACTTTAAAAATGGATTTTTTGGAAGTAACTTACAATTTTATCTTACATCGGTGATCAAACTTTTAAACACAGAGCGTGGATTGTCGTCCGAATTTATTGTTAACTTGAGGCAATGATTGGTCGCGAAGTCTAATCAAATCCACCCAATTACGAAGTCATACAGCTACACACTGGATTTAAAATTTCTAAAATCTTAAGTTGAAAAGATACTGTCGTTTACAAGACTCGTAACACAAACCAATTACATTTAGTCGACCACTACGGGCTGTTAGCCTGAAAGAACCTGTCGGTGTTAAAAGGCACAATTTTCTGAATAGATGATCATTGTGAGGGCAGTATGTAAGATCTGCAGAGCTGCAACGGCATCATCTAGATTTAATAATCACACGATAGCCAAGATTGTGACCTAGAAACCATTGTTGCAAAGTTTTAGGTGCATATATTCACATCAAACGCCTACACAGACTAGTAAATTAGTCACGCGAATGTGAGAACGTGAGACTCTTAGTCCAGTGATAAGGTACATTGTGGCGACTGAGGCGGGTCGCAAATCAGAATCCAGACCAAGGTGCATGGATTAAGCCCTTAAATTACTCAAGTGTCTACGTTTGAGGGGATTTTCAAAACATTACATTTTCAGTTTGGAGATTGTTTTCAGAGAGCTGTGTGCCAGCTCACAAAACACTGGCGTATTACTTCCAATGAACCTGTACTCGAAAGTCAGTTAGTGCAATAATATCGTGAAGGTTAAGGTTTTAATTGTGATCATTCACGAGACATCTTCGGCTACATACTTTATTTCAGTCGTCCTACAAAAGACTAGACCATGCTTAAATTAGCTTGACTCAGCCTTACCTTGTGGGTCATTTTGAACGAAGCGAACAGAATACCACCGATTGACCACGGTCTTCCGGTCCTCAATCATGTTGAGCACCTCTACTGGATGCGTCGAAATCCAGGTAAGGAACCAGTCGTGAAGGTTCATAATGGACTCGTTGTCTAAATGGGTAGAAATGTGACATTGTAAACACACACACACACACTAAAGGACATGGGCAGACACTTCCCAGGCGTAGTCCCAACTCGTAAACAAGGACAACAACGATATCACGACACAACTGGTGCCGATAACCCACTAAAAGCTTACTAGGCATCTGATAACGGAAGATGCGATGATAGATTATCAAGAACACAATAAAATTTGCAAGCATCAAACCAAGAGATCGCAGCTAAGGCGGATCATGGGAGACGAGTCTATGCAGTATTGGTAAGGTTGTTATAATAAATAAGCAACGTTATAATTCAACTGTACGTTGACACCCAAAAAAGTTGACACAACCGCTTACTCATTCACTATGTGTATCATGGTGTGCTTGTTTGGGCGTGTTTATGTGGTACTTGTGAACACAGAAAATGAGCGATGAATACTAATGACCTTGAGATATGCATCTTTGGAGAAGATTCTGTATTATAGACACCTGCAACTACGGTCTACTGCAAAGTAAAGGGTTGAGCAACGCAAGTCATGTTACCAATTTTGCCAGCGTAAATTACCGCATATTTGCGAATTGCCCTGCGAAACGATGCTGCTGAGTTGAACCTAATTTTACCAACTCAGGGATTTGTTCGAATTCACATAGGTTTATGGTTAAAGAGATTGAACATAGAGCAATGCAACGCGCAACGGCATGACATGCCTCAAGGTCTCACCTTAAGTAGGTACACAAATATACACTTGAGCCGGGTTTAAGCCGAGTAGAGTCAAATTCAACTATGCAATCAACAATTTGTCAATAAATTGGATCAAGCCAGCCTAACACTTGCCTCAAAAAGTAGTGCACGCACAACTGAAAGGGTTTAAAATTACGACGTGGACATAGGAGGAGGTTAACCCAAACACCTCCCATTAATGAGAAAATAAGAGGCCGTAGTGGTAAAGTTATCGCACCCGATCCTCATTCCAAGCGAAGATAAAGCAGGTTAGAGGGAACAAAACGAAGACCACGATTTGAGCGAATTCCCGAAGGCGTATGAATAGCAATTCAACACGAGCTAAGCATAAACGCACACCGATGGACAAAACAACGGCAGAAAACTATAGGCTCCAAGCGACATCTATTTTCGTCAGGAGATTTGGTAAGACTCACTTTGTTGCAGTTGTTTTGCTTCAGGTGTGAGAGTGAATATCATTGGGAATTGGTAAAGGAACATCATGGACTGATTTCCTCGATGTGGGACAGAAAGAAAGATGATCCCTTTGGTTTGGCGTGCCACAGAACTAGGGGGCTCCATGTCAGCCACGTGACTTCCCATAACCTCCGCCAAGTTGATTTCACCCGATTCAACACTGTTGAAAGAACCTGGGGATGAAATTTCAGTGGCAACTGAGGAGCTGGAAAAAGCTGATGCACTCTGAGTGTCGTTGTAGAAATGCGAGTTGCTTCCGCTCTTCTTCGATGATGAACATAGAGCTGAGGATTCGTCAAGCCAGCTGGCTGAGAGTCTTAGAACTTCCTTTGTAAGTATTCCTCAAAATCAAAACACGGCTTCAACTAAACAACTGCCGAAGCAGGAATCCGAAGGTCTTATTACTAGTTAAAGGCTATTGTTTTTTGACTTACCACCAGCGGAGTGTGAAACCCAGACTATAGGACGACGACCGACCCCAGCCATCAACAATTGCTGCAGAATATCGTGAGCTCTTTGATCTATTCGACGCCTACAAATTACAACCGATTGCAATTTTACTAAAGTGTAAAATATTTTCGATAACGACACGGAACCAAGAAGCACAAAACAAACGCCGATTCATGCGCACCGCTGGAAATCGGCACGGCCATTACTTGGCTCGAAACTTATGAAAGCCTTAAAGCCACTTCTAGTCCACCGCAGCTAGCTTTATCATCCTCGGTAATGTGATCGAGAGTTATTTGCCCGTCTTCCAATATCACTACGACTTCTCAAAACAGTAAAAACGCACTTCAACTTTGCCTCAATACATCTTTAAATGCTACAGATGGTTGTGTTGAACTGTTAAAGGTGGTTTCAGGTTGAAGTGCTTCGCAAAAGCATTGGATTAGCATAAAGACATTCTGGACATGTTATTTGGATGTTTCTATATCCGAATAATGGGTACAACACTCAAGTTTGCATTAAAATGGTATTCATACAACTGAAAATTCAGAACTGGGCTTAAAACCTTTTTCTTAGAACATTATAATCCAAATTTAAATATATTTATTTTGCTTTATATGTGCAACTATTGTCAGTGACTCACACACCAAAATTGCGGTATATAAAACATGCCCAATAAATATGCCAGCAGAAGCTATTATACCAAAAAACTTAAGGTTTTGTGTCAGTAAATTACGGATCAGAGCTGCCAGGTCCATTTTCGTATGACACGGCCAGGTGTACCGAGATCAGTCTTAACAATGGTTTTAAGAGGAGAAATGGGTCTGATCCCAGCGAGTGAATGGATGGCATTAACCAACTTTAGTCCTTACACTTACACTGAGTCTGCGTCCCTCTTTACCATGCGTGCAGATGCCATGCTTAGCTATCATAAAACAGCCGCGCAATCAGACCAATAACTCGTACATGGGATAGCCCATTGTAGTCCAACGGTCGTTACCATGGTCCCCCAAATTATTGCCACTACTAAAACGTGCCCACGACACAACGGTTTCGTTGCCAACGTGCCTAGCTGGTTACCGACATAATAGCCAACAATTTAAACTTAAGCACAGTATACCCATCAACAGAGAACTTGACCATCACATCGCAATAAGGGCGTCGCATTGCAGTTGAAAAGACTACTGACATCCAATAATTATTTCCAGTTTCAAACTGAAGTTTAAAGCAAGGTTAATTTATTGAAAGGTTACTTACTTAATTTTTTCTGCAGGGCAAATTGGATTCCATATGAAGGGTCTTAGGTTGGCATTAACTCCTAGAATGCGAGCTTCAGGAAACTCCTTGCTTAACCAGGTCTTAATAGGGATAAAACGAGAAAAAATTGAAAATTCTACAGGACCCTGGATGACTGTACGATACAACCGCACAGTTCATGCGAGTAGGTAGATTCATTAACAATAAATTAGGGGACAAACACACTTACATGTTTTAATTTAGACACTTTGTACAACTAGAAACTGAAAACTACAAACACGAGCCTGCTATTGAGACTGGCCTTATTCGTCCTGCTATACCCGTCATGGCAATTGTCTTGATTGTCCAAAGGCTTTTCATGCTATCTTTACCCCTACCTAGTTATCCCACTAATGGTGACAACTAAAAAGGAGCTCACTTGTGGCCAGCAACCAATTTGGCCTGGGCAGCAAGAATCTGACTTAAGATTACTGAAGCTTGAATTATCTCCGCATCCCGGGAAATTCTCATTGTCTTCGGTCTTGGAAATATCCCGCTGACGCCATGTATGAAAGACACTGCCCAACATCCCGTTGACGAAGATGATGTCGATCTCCGGCGGGGGTGAATTCGGGTCATCGCTGAAAATAGACAAAACCACTAAACTATTCTCTTGTGCTGCGATCCAAAGATTCTAGAGCACGATGATTTTGGACTGCTGACATGGCTGTGCCAGTGCTGCCTTGTCAATGAATTTGACTCGAGTGTAACTCAACCTGGTAAGGCTCTTTGTTCCAGTGACAGAGCGTTCAAAGAACAGGCGGCGTGTTGTCTGATTTACTTACCAAAAGATAAAAAAGCATAATAATATGAGTCTGAACTTAACACATACATGACTTCTACTACATTAAATCTTTTTTAATTTGTTTGCCTAAATCTATGTTGAGTAATAGATATGACAGCCAATACATCCCAATTCGTTTTCTTAATTATGGCCTCAGGTTTTTCATGGTAGCTTCAAAGCCAACCTGTCATCTTTCAAGGATGAATGTGCATTAGAACTACAAGTCACATCTGCTGCTTTCCAGCTGTTTCGAAGCATGAAGGCGGTACCATAGGGGCGGCAAACATAGCAGCAATTCCTGGAACGATGTTCGGGGACACAGGGCTCAAATCAGACTATGAATAGCATGACGAAATCCACGTGCGCTTGCTGCCATTAGTAAATTTCGCAAAATGAGATATATCCTTCTAATCAAATTCAACGCAAGGGGACGAATGTTGAATCTTTTTTAATCCCATTGAGAACTGAAACTATTGGCAGTTGGGATCCACATTGGTGTGCGAAATTATCACAGCCCCAAATGTATGGAAACATCAAAGTTTATTTTTGCGCTTTTGGACATTCACCCTGCCAACAACGTTGCAAACAGAGTCCTGCATTACAGTAAGTCCATTTTAAAACGATAAAATATCGCCTTTTTATCGATAGACCGTGGTAGATAGTTGAATTCGTTGCAACTCAAACGGAGACTGATCGAATAAATGAAGGTTAACGATCAGTACATTTCTAACATAAGGGGGAAACACCAGGCCAGGAAAATGAACGGAAACGAGTGTTTAGATTCGCACAATGCGGCAAAAATTGTGCTTCTTTTAAAGGGTTATCAAGAATTTCAATCAAAAAGCACATACCTCGTCTTGTCTAATTTAAAGACATCAGGTCCATAAATTACGGGAGGATTGCAGGGCAGTTTTGATTCCAGAGGTGATGGTGTTGATTCATCGTTAGGTGACAACGTAGAAAGAAAGAACTTTGGTTTTCCGTTACCTGGGGTCTTAAAAAGGGACTCATCCAATTGACTCCAAAAGGTGTGCGTGGTGACGTTGCTCTGGATTTTAGCGGAGAGGAGTTGGAGGCGAAGGTCCTGAGAGGCAGCCCAGTAATCGAGCCATCGTCTGAGACCTACAAGATTATGTCGTGAATCCTGTTTATTCAACCCCCTAATCCGGTCGCTCCACCTCCTACACAGGGTTCCCCTTGTCGCAGCATGTCG